TTTAAGGACTAGGGAGACCAGACCATTATATATGGCTTAAGGAGACAATATACAGATTTTTTAAATTTGCTTTTTTCTAAAAAGAAATACCAGATCAATGTTCTATAGAACACCATTTAGTCGACTCTTGCTTTATTTTTTCATTATAAATGCCTCCTAAAAATATATGAAAAAAATGGTCTCCCTAATATTTTATGTTTCTCTCATATGACTTAAGGAGACCAGTGTATATTTTTATACATATAACTTGTGGTTTAAGTAGACCATTTTTCTTTCATAGTAATTTCACTGATTATGGCTTAATTAACATATTGTTTCCAACCAGAATAGTTGCGGATGGTCATTGGTCAAGCTCAGCAGAAAGATATTTGTGTTAATGTGACTCAACATGATCAGTACAAAATCTTGAATATAAAACTAAAGTCATTGCACAAGTGACTTATATAGAGAGTAGTTGCCCCCCTGGCGCAGTGGTTAGAGCGTCTGCTCTAGAGTAGAGAAGTAAGGACTTGATCCTTACATCGCAGGTTCAAATCCCACAGTTGGCTGGGGAGACCGATCCTTCGGATGAGACCGCATAAATCGAGGTCCCGTGTCACAGTAGGTGCTGGCACGAAAAAATCCCTTCACTGCTCAATGGCTGTAAGTGCTGAGTATAGGACAAAATTTGCAGCTTTCCACTGGCATGTGGTGGCGTCTCCATATGAGTGAAAAAATCCCGAGAGGGACGCTAAACAACATACAATCAATCAATCAATCAATATATAGAGAGTATAAGCCCAGAGTAGCTTGTTCTGATATCCACAATTAACTCTCAATGCTGTCGCCCACGTTGCAGTGGTAAGAGCCTATGCTCTAGAGTTGCCGTGTTAGGAGTTGATCCTTATGTCACATGTTTGAATCCCACTGTGGGACGTGGAGACCGGTCCTTCGTACAAACCAAGGTCCAGTGTCACAGTAGATACTGGCATGAAAAAGATCCTTCACTGCTCATTGGCCCTGTGTGCCGAGCATAGGTCATTTGCAGCTCTCCACCGGCAAGTGATGGCGTCTCCATATGAGTGAAAAATTCTCGAGAGGGACGTTAAACAACAAACAAACTCTCAATGTCCAATACAGTTTAACCTGAAAGTGAATGCAGACATAGACATGCAGACATAGATTAGACTTATTCTTTAGACCAAGTATAGTATACTCCATATTGTTTTGTTGAGGACACAAAGTTCACAGTGGAAATCAAGTAGTTTTTCCTGCTATTTATACCCAGCTTCTTTTAAACCATATAGTCATTGAGTGCATTCACTTTCCAACTAATTGATGAAGTTCTGAATCATACCTATATTTGTTTAAATTCTTTGTGATTTAAGAATATGTTTGACCAGTTGAAACCAAGAGTACATGTACTACATAAAATTTCAATGCTGTGATTAAGATCCAGTAAAGCAATATGTAGATGCCATGTTCAATATACATATTTGCTATCATTAAACTTGCAGAGACCATGAATCAAAATAATTCAAATGCTTCAAAATCATTTTATTTTTACTGCTAGTCAAAATACAGTCACTCAAGCATATCCTTTGTTAATTTGAAAAAAAAAAATAATAGTTTAACATTTATTATTAATACCATACCAAAGCACAAGATAGTGCACTTCTTACATAATCCAATGATTCATGCTGTGATTTGACATATTTAGATGTTTCTCATTTACAGTTCAATATACATGATATACAAGTACAGTGTGACACTAACCTAGTATCAGTTGAATGGATCATTACTATTCTGTTTTTAAGAAGTTTGCAGGGTAAAAAGTATAATAAAATAAAAATGTTGATACATTTATTGATTGCATATGCTAAAAACTTTGATAAAATATCAAACTTTGTATCATAACAGCTTTTACAAATTAATTCAATACATTCAAAGGTACAAAAATCAAATTATTTTCATCCACAGTTTTATCATATTCAGTTGAACAACAGCTACATCTATTATATAAAATGTATGGTAGTTGGCACTGAGTGTATAATCAAAGAATACAAAGCTCACTTCTATATATGTTATCCGCTAGTAAGGCAAAGTCTCACTCAACAAACACTCTGGTAATGTATATCACCTGAATCCAAAATCTATGCAAGTTGTTCTGGGTTAGATTTAACTGCTCAATAACCCTGAAAATGTATGTTACATCCAGCATCAGAAGCAGGATGCATCATCTATGTTTACTGATCACCAAAGAGTATATTGTTACTTTGAATGAACCTTCTCTAAACCAGAAGTCTCTGATGAGACTGTAGCTCTACTGGTCTGTTTGTATAACAAAAGAAAAGTAGCACTTGGATTTGAAACATTGCAACATGCAACAATAAATAGAATTATGTATCTTAATGTAGTCTACTTTTGTGACAAGTTATATTGAAATCAAATGAAAACTAGGAGTAGTAGCGTTTTGAAAGTATTTCACGGAAATTTCTATTTTTAGTACCGGTAACCATGACAACACCACTCACCCAAATAAAAAAAAACAGAAATACATATTATGTATCGTAGTGTATTCTAACTGTGTGCCAAATTAGATTGAAATCAGACCAAAATTGTAGGAGGAGTAACGTTTTAAAGGAATTTCACAGAAATTTCTATTTTAAGTAACCATGGCAACACCGTTCATCGAATTCAAAAACCAATGCAATAAATTATGTATCTTAGTATAGTCTTCTTGTATGCCTAATTATATTAGAAGCAGACTAAAACTGTAGCAGGAGTAGTGTTTTAAAGGAATTTCACAGAAATTTCTATTTTTAGTAACCATGGCAACACCATCCATCGAAATCAAAAACCGATGCACTAAATTATGTATCTTAGTGTAGTCTACTTGTGTGCCAAGTTATATTGAAATCGGACCAAAACTGTAGGAGGAGTAGCATTTTAAAGGAATTTCACAGAAATTTCTATTTTTAGTAACCATGGCAACACCGTCCATCAAAATCAAAAACCGATGCACTAAATTATGTATCTTAGTGTAGTCTACTTGTGTGCCAAGTTATATTGAAATCGGACCAAAACTGTAGGAGGAGTAGCGTTTTAAAGAAATTTCACAGAAATTTCTATTTTTAGTAACCATGGCAACACCGTCCATCGAAATCAAAAACCGATGCACTAAATTATGTATCTTAGTGTAGTCTACTTGTGTGCCAAGTTATATTGAAATTGGACCAAAACTGTAGGAGGAGTAGCGTTTTGAAGGAATTTCACAGAAATTTCTATTTTTAGTAACCATGGCAACACCGTCCATCAAAATCAAAAACCGATGCACTAAATTATGTATCTTAGTGTAGTCTACTTGTGTGCCAAGTTATATTGAAATCGGACCAAAACTGTAGGAGGAGTAGCGTTTTAAAGAAATTTCACAGAAATTTCTATTTTTAGTAACCATGACAACACCGTCCATCGAAATCAAAAACCGATGCACTAAATTATGTATCTTAGTGTAGTCTACTTGTGTGCCAAGTTATATTGAAATCGGACCAAAACTGTAGGAGGAGTAGCGTTTTAAAGGAATTTCACAGAAATTTCTATTTTTAGTAACCATGACAACACCGTCCATCGAAATCAAAAACCGATGCACTAAATTATGTATCTTAGTGTAGTCTACTTGTGTGCCAAGTTATATTGAAATCGGACCAAAACTGTAGGAGGAGTAGCGTTTTAAAGAAATTTCACAGAAATTTCTATTTTTAGTAACCATGGCAACACCGTCCATCGAAATCAAAAACCGATGCACTAAATTATGTATCTTAGTGTAGTCTACTTGTGTGCCAAGTTATATTGAAATCGGACCATAACTGTAGGAGGAGTAGCGTTTTGAAAAATTGTTTACAGACAGACGGACAGACAGACAGACAGACAGACAGACAGACAGACGGACGGACGGACGACGGACACCTTACTATCGCATAAGCTCTTCTGGTCTCTGACCAGTAGAGCTAAAAACTGGTCATTAATCCAGAAAATCTAAGTCAAATCAAGGATTGGTACCCTGAAACATTAACATACATCATCTTTGCAGGTTTGTTCAACATACAGTTTATAATTACATGAGAATAGGACTGCTCAAAACACTTACTCTTGTGGAGTCCCCCATGTGGCGCAAAGGCTAGAGTGTGTAATCTAGAGTCGCAAGTAAGGATTTAATCCTTAAGTCTAAGGTTCAGATCCACTGGGGATGTGGGAACCAGTCCTTCAGATTCGACCGTATAAACCGAGGTCCCACCTCACAGTTGATGTGGGCACAAAAAAGATCCCTTATTGCTCAATGACCCTGAGTGCTAAGTATAGGTCAAATTTTGCAGCTCTCCACCAGTAAGTAGTGGCATCTCCATATGGATGAAAAATTCTTGAGAGGGATGTTAAACAACAAACAAACAAAAACAAAAAACACATGAAGAAAATGTTGATCAGGTCAAGCATCTGAAGTAAATCTGTTAATGTGCTTTAATCCATGCAAGTTTGTCCAGTTAGAGCTTAGGAATAAACCTTGCTCCTTAAATTTTAACTGGGAAGACAATGCTAGGTATATAGCAAGAACTCATCTAGACTGTCCAGAAAAGCTTAAGAATATTTAGCAATATCTTACTTGCATGATTTAAAAAAATCTGCAATCTAACATTATTCTAAAACAATTTCAACAAAGTTTCTAATTTTCAACAAATTCAATGCACTATGAGATGAATTACATTTCTAAACCACATACACTCTACTTAAAGTGCAATATACATGCATTATACTGTATGTTAAATCTTTACAGTTCTCTTCAAGTACTCTAATAGTATATAAAATATGAAGATTACCAAAAGTGATCAAGCTTTAAAGTCCATTGAAACAATACAAAATTGGAGCAGAGCAAACACAGACCTCTAAAAACACCAAGTGCAATGGAGGAGAAAGCATTTTCTGCCATGTGCTCCTTGACATGATTGGGCAAATCGAAAAATCCACAAACAATTCAGTGTAAACAATTTTGATGAAAAACATTAGTCAACATTCAACTTAATGATAGATTAAATTTGCTATAACAATTAATTTACATGTAAGTGTACACACATGTATGCATACCCAATTTTACTAAATGAATTATTTCACAATATCCAAAATTGGACAATAATATATAATTTCTAATCTAGCCAGACAACAGGAAATTTTCATTATTACTTAAATTACATGAAACTATTGATGTCTGTGAGCTACAAATTATATCTAAAAATTATATACATTTTAACAAGTGTTTACAGTTTAGTGTATTTATTATACACAAATGATGACTTAATTAGTAAGACATACCAGTAAAGTCCACAGATTGACTTCCAGATTTCAGCTCAAAGGCTTGAAGATTTTTAGTGGCTTTTTCTCTCATAATTTTTTTTTCACTGAATATTTTCATTTTTTTTTTCAAGACACTGTTTTTGTTGAGGTCTTTTAGCAGTTTGATGCAATCCAAGAACTCTGAGGGCAATTTAAGAACTCCTGAATTTCTTTCTTACCTGGCAAAAATAAAAATTTAAAAGTTTAAAATATATTCAACTTACATGAAGAAAACTAGTAAAACTAGCGATAATGTAATAGACCTTTCAGATGTTCCAAAGCAGCTACATGTACCTTATTAAAAAATATAAAGTTTGAAGTATTTAGAGTCACCTGTATTCTGAACAAGGGATATGTGTATTTGACAGACAGATGAATGAATAGACTGATCACTATAGAGCACCTTAGTCTTTTTTCAATAATCATTATATTAGTGAAAATCAAATAGGAACTAGAGTGCTTCAAGGAATGTATATGTCGCCTGCTAGGTATCTTCATTAAAGAGGTAAATAAATCTAAGAGTGGTCAGCTATTAATTTAATATTAGCATGGAGGTTCATGCATTTGCCTGCAAGGAAAAAAGAGGATCCAAAAGTAAAAGACTGGGATAGAATCTGGCAATCAAAAAATATAGTTCCCCAATCCTCAAATGAATAATTAAATTGAAATTATGATGAATAACTATTTATCATTTTATTAATACACATGTAGGTGCTTCCAACAATCCTCGGAGGAAAGAGATTTCAGACTGTCTTTACTTTGTCACTTTGTCAGTCAACACGATTCATTGTGGAATACTGATCCCAATGTATTTTCATAGTATTTAAATAAGTTTGTGGTAACTGAATTTCATACAGTTTCAAAGTATAGTATCATGAGCTCAAAAACATATATAAATGCTAATTATCAAAACCCTGCCTCTAAAAATTTTGGAGATATAAGGTGTGACAGACGGACAGACAGACACCAGGTAAAGTGATCTCTAAGTGTCGTTCTGCTCTGCAGTTGACACAAAAATGAAAGTTAGTCAATTTTTGAGCATGCATCACTTCAGTGATGAAAGGAATGCTGAAGTGGAAAGTCTATCCTAATTATTTGAAAATACGGCAACCCCATTGGTCAGAATATAATACATATGCTGTCCAGCCTTAATTTCATTGGCATAAAGCAGCACAAAACAAGATTTGATTGGATGGTGCAACTTGTTTTTCTAGGGGGCGCTGTTGCAACCCTGGAAAAGAAAATAGGACTGGGGCTTGCCCTTTGGGGGCACTTACTGACCGGAAGTAAACAAACAACAGAAATAGCAAATTACACTAGAAATATGTCCATAGGCCATGAATGCCCCGCCGAGTGTATAGTAATGCAACATGAAATTTTGTGTTAGTATATGAAGTTTGATGAGAATATCTTGAAAAGTTTCTTTAAAATTGAAATAAAAATTTAAAAAAAAATGAATAGATGATAAGTTCTCACCAAATTATGTATAGATGCATAGCCTTAGATAACAATATCTTAAATGGTTTAAAACCATGCAAAATGCAAATTAAAGGAAAGTGAGGTCAAGGTCACAGGAAAGGTCAAAAATTTTTGAAATAGTTGAATAGGTCTTACTAATCTTACAGCATATTAAGTTTGATAAAAAATATCTTGAATGATTTCTTTAAAACTGAGCTAGTCACAAGCGTGGCGCCATGGTTAAAGCGTCAGCTCTAGAGTCACGAAGTAAGGAATTGATCCTTACATCACAGGTTTGAATCCCACTGTGGGATGTGGACACCAGTCCTTCGGATGAGACCTTATAAACTGAGGTCCCATGTCGCAGTAGGTGCTGGCATGAAAAAGGACCCTCACTGCTCAATGGCTGTGAGTGCAGAGTATAGGACAGAATTTGCAGCTTTCCACTGGCAAGTGGTGGCGTCTCCATATGAGTGTAAAATTCCCAATAGGGGCTGCAGATTACCTGTTATGATTGACCAAAATCCCTACTAGGCTTTAAACTCTTCATTCTTGACCTGTATATCGTCAAATGAGATTTGTCCAGTTAATTAAGGTAAAAATTACTAATTGATAAAACTGTAAATGATTTTTTTTTTACCTGAGTCAGATTTTTACTTTTCTTAAAGGTGTCTGGATTTGACTGTTGGTTCCACCTATCTCAAGAAAATGATCTGTAACAGTAAATGTTAGAAATCATAATCTGTTCTCTATCTCCTATAATCACGAGAAAAGGTGTTAAAAATTAACAGATGGAGATAAAATCAGCAGTCATATTAAAGGCTTTTTTCAATCATCAATTTATTAGTGAAAATCATAAAAGTATTAGGCAAAAAGGAAAAATAAATGTTGTCATTAATTAACCTTGCATATCTCTACAATTTTCTGATAAGAAAATTTATACCCGATAGACGCAATATAATCACCCTTTGCCTGCCCCTAAATTAAATTATGAAATTTTGATAGATTTTGATCTAAGCAATTATTTAAAACAAGGTTTTTTAGGGGCACGTACCCCTGCTTTAGATTTATATAAAAAAAAACTACAAAAAACGTGAAAACCTATTTCTATCTTACTGGTTTATATTTATTACAAATGTCCTCATAGTCAGCATAGCCCAGAATGGTAGACCGCAGACTCTCACCATGAACATTTTTAGTGTCCTGGTTCGAATCCATTTGTTGGCACATTTTTATTTTTTCAAACTTTTTACCTGTATAAACACTAAAGAACCAGTGCACTTATGGGCCCCGGTAAAATGTGAAAAAATGAAGAATCAAATTAAGCTTAATTTTCCATCTCAGATCATTAATTGATATCTAAACCCTAAATTCAACAAATTTTATTGCTGAAATTCATGAATATACAAAGAGCAAAGCCATACAATGTGGTAGGGGTCAGCCAACATTCGTGATTTTCTATAGTAAATCGAGGACAGTCATTCATTTCAAAGCTTTTGTTTATTGTCAGCCTAACATTGTACAAACTTGTGTGATTGACAAAAAACGCATTATACATTTATAAAACTTGTGTGAAAGTAGGAAATTTGTACAAGATTAGGCTTGTACTTAAAATATTAAAAAAATGTATGAAAAGTTCAATGTTTTTCCTATAGCAAGTAAGGGCTTAGATTTACCTGTATGATCTAGCTATGTTGAACCCACCCATGGAATAAATTATTTAAAATACCGGTAGTCACGTGAGTTCTACCCAGGTAAACATTCCTCAAAGATGCTCACTGTAAAGCATAGCCACGTTTTGTATCATTATATCAAAGTCATGCCGCATAGAGAAGTTTGTATGTACATGTATTTGGTTTTAGGAAAATGGGAGGGTTAGGAACACAGAAGGGTTAAGAGAGTTTAGTGTCGTTAAAATGTCATCATAAATAAAAGCGTCAAACATTTTTAACATTCAAGCAAGATAATGGTACCAGTATTGAAAGCCACCCAAATACACCTTTTTTCATTTTAAAATATAAAGGAACTAATGTTAATACTTATTGCATTATTTCAAATGCAAGCGTACCAATTTCATAGTTTGATCACTATGGATACAGGCATCTATACAACTTCATTCAATTTTTTTCTCGGGTAAAATAGCGCAAGAAGTATCATTCGGCAAATGTGCCTGTCAATGATCCACCATCAGATTGTTCAAGTGTCTGATTTAAGATTTAAATGTCTCCTCCCCTTGATTTAAATAAACGATTGAAACTCAAAATGGGTTTGATATGACTTTTCCGGATCTATAGGCATTTAAAAAACTTCATTTGTTTCAAATCCATGCTGATTGATGTTTTAGCGTGATTTTAATTAGAAATGTCCACTTGTGTTTAACTATTACTAAAAGAGAACAATTTGGTAATATATTCTAAAGTAATACAGCACTGAAAAAGGGCCCATTAAGCATTCCTTAAGTGCACTTGTCCTTGCACTTTGATTTTTTTATACAGGCTTTTGCATTTTACTTATATTTTCTTCCTTAAATGCATGTTTGGTGTTGATATAAAAGACATCTACAGAAATGCAGATCATAAATTCTCTTTAACTAAATGCAATCAACCGGAACTATACCTCATTGTAAGCACACTTTGTTCGAGGACACTAATCATTCACTTTGTGTTACTCGATACTGCAGGTGTCAGGAAAAAGAATCTTGCTGAGCAATAACTGCTGTGTTTTCCTTTCAAGAACATAATGACATGTAATAGTACTGTTGTGCCAGTGGGAGAGATACTGTTCTATGCAGAGTAGATGCAGTTCATTCCTTGGGAAAAATGTGTGCATTGGTGATATGTTATGCTAAAAATGCATGAGGGTTTTCAGATTAGAAAAGAATGTGGTAAGGTCAGTTAAGGTTTTATGTCCCATTGCCATTACTCAGTCAGACATCAAGAATGACCCTCATACAAAGGATGTATAATTCTGTAAATACTGAGGTAGGATCATATGAACACACAGTTGACTAGAATGAAATATATCGAGATAACAAACAGTATTCAAGCTCAAAAGCCCATCAAAAAATACAAAATAGGAGCAGAGCAAACACGGACCTCCAAAACATCAGAGGTGGGATCAGGTGCCATGGAGGAGTAAGCATCCCCTGCAGACCGGTCACACACGCCATGTGCTCCTTGTCACAACTGGGAAACAATGGAAAAATCCATCGATAATTCAGTGTGTAAATAATGGCCTAACAATAAGTATGAAAAACGTCACTCAGCATTTGACTTAATGATAAATTGTATTTGCTGACAAGGTCATTGTATCGACCATAGAATTTACAAAATGATAACTTTAAACAAGACTGCTGATATTCTTGTTTCAGCAACTTGTTTGTCAATAACTTACCTCGTTTTAAAAAAAATTCAAACATAGAGGATGCTCTTTCGTATCAAATCAACTGAGAGATATAAACCCTGTATGCAGGTGATGAAGGTATATTGCTAAATAAGTAAAAGAAGTTGACAATTGAAAAGTTAAAGCCATCTCATTTGTCATAAAGCTTGGTTGTTAGATTACCATTAACGTAGAACTAAAGCAATACATGAGAAACAAGAAACTACACACATGTGGCCTAAAGTCAGTGATCTGAACATACATCGATAAGCTTTTTCTAAAGACTGAAACCAATATTGGTCCTAAGGTCAACTCAAATTTTTAACTAGAAGTGTTCCTTTGATATACTATATTTTACTTATTTTCTATAGACTTACTATACCCTGAAAAAAAAAAAAAGGAAAACAGGAACTAGCTGTTTAAATGACCTCGACCACCGAGGTTAATCTAAAGTTTGTCCCTGCCTACCTGAAAAACAGACTACCTCGGGCAGTCAGTAATTTCCAACTCTGGTTATGAGATGCTAAATGTTCAATTTTTACAATCAAATGCTTATATTTACATTTTTAAATTCAGGATAGATTGAGAAAGTCAATAAAATCACTTCTATATTATGTCTGTATACTTCAACTGAGAAATTAGTTGAAACTGGTTCCAAAAAAGAAGCTGAAAATGTTCAATAGTTTACAGACAACACTTGAAACATGATGACTGAACAAACACAGATAGCAATAAGTAATTTAAATGACTCAGGTGAATTATAACCTGTTCAATCTAATAGATCCATCTTTTTTCTAATACGACGGTTGATCCAAAAGTTTGTGAAATTTAATTATCTCTAAAATTTTATTGTGATTTGATGAAAGCAAAAAATAGGCATATTTATAATATGGAGTCTTTATGCAACAATACTGGAAATTTTCACCATGTTCCAATTACCAATAAGGTCACACGAGCTTTCTGAACATTGATAGTTGTAAAATCAGGGGGAGACTTCTACGTAACGTCAAGTTAAGTATGTCATGTCACATTATAGGAGCGTTATAGGAGCATCTCACCCTCATGTTCAATTCGACTAAGTAATTCTACAGAATATTCTGCCTTTTTCTCCTTTTCTCTCTCAAGAAAAGCCTTGGTATCCTCTCACACGGATCAACTTATCTTAATATTATACTCATATTTCAAAAATACTCCCCATCTTTGCATATGGTGTTCCAATTTCAGAAGCAAAGTCAAGCACAGTACGTCAGCGGTCAACGTCCATCAACGCTTAATTTGTCTATGAGAAAAACAGACCCTCCAAAAGGCGGCCACACCTTTAATCAACCTCCATGGAAGTTCTGTTTTTCTTAAATTTCTAATGCCACTGGTAAATCAGTTGCTTAATACATTTTTCTCCAGCCTGTATCAGTAGTATACCCCTTTAAGTCAGAGTGTTCCCAAGATTTTAACAAAACTTATAACTTGACCAAAATGTGATGTTCTCTAACAATTAAAATATGAACAAGAAATCATCAACTAATAATCTAAATATCAAGTTAAATCAGTAAAACTCTCACAGAAAGGTATATTAGTGGTCAAGCAATCGTAATTATGACAAAATTTTCGTTTTATTTGCCACTTAGTGCAGGATTTTTCTTATTTCACGTATAAAGAATTAAAATGATAATGAACGAGTAAATGTCTCCCCTGCATTTTCAAACATCCTTTGCTATGGCAACTGCCATAGAGTTACTATCATAAATATTTAAAATATTGTTTATTAAAAAAATTCAACAAGTGTCTATATAATTCCTATTTGTAATTTTCTACCACTTACACTAATAAATAAATAAAAAATGAAGAAATTCCATGAACTTTCGGATCAACCCTCGTACATGTCAGTCATTAAATTTATATTAATATACAGTATGCATAAGGGAGACCAAATGTATTATTACTGCATTAAGGAGACCAACTACTATCCACATGTAAATCAGTATTTAACCACTTTCACTAATAAATAAATAAAATATGAAGAAATTCAACAAACTTTTGGATCAACCCTCATACATGTCAGTCATTAAATCTATATAATATGCAGTATGCATAAGGAAGACCAAATGTATTATTACTGCATTAAGGAGACCAACTACTCTCCACATGTAAATCAGTATTCAACCAATTTCACTAATAAATAAATACAAGAGGCCCAAGGGCCTTAACGGTCATCTGATTATAATACAACAATTAAGAGGATCCACAGAGTATAAAATGAACTGAAAGGTGAAGCTTTGTTGCCCAAAAGCAAGAAAAATAGGGTGATCAGGATCAACAAAATAATTAGTCTAGT